ACGCCAACTAAAATTCAGGCAGCGGCGATTCCCATGGCGATAGCTGGAATGGGTAATACTTCAATTTAATAGTTTATAATGTATATGACAATCAATGTCCTTTTTAGATCTGTTGGTGCAGTCAAAGAGTGGAACGGGAAAAACTTTGATTTATGTGCTTGCCGCATTACAAAAGATAGATAAGTCGGTGGCCAGTCCGCAGACTTTGATAATTGTGCCAACTCGTGAACTGGCCATACAGGTGGAGGACACTGTTAACGGCTTGGCGAACAAATTGCACAACAGAAACGCTTACCTGTGTGTTAGTTTCATTGGCGGCACAGATGTGAAGCGAGATCGCATGCGCATGGCTCGAGGGCGGATTATAGTGGGTACACCAGGTCGTCTGCTTCATCTCATTCAGAACAACGTATTCAATACGTCGGCAGTCAAGCTGCTCGTGCTGGATGAGGCAGACCAATTGTATTGCACTGATTCATTGCAGAAGGATGTGCAAGCGCTCGTTGCATCGCTGCAGCCCGGGATTCAAATAATTGCCTGTAGCGCTACCTATCCGAATGCGCTAGACGAGCGTCTTGCCAAGTTGATGCACAAGCCAGTGCTGGTCTCTAACAGCGAGCGAGCCACCGTACTGGTGGGCGTTCGGCAATTTGTCTATGAACTGCCAGCACAAGTGAACAGYATGCAGGATATGATGTCTAAGCTGAAAGCGGTGCAGAAGATAATTACCCAAGTGGCCTATGACCAGGTTATACTTTTCGCCAGCTCGCAGAGTCGCGCCGATTCCTTTCGCAACTATTTGCAACGGGATGGCATTGAATGTGAACTTATGTCTGGAGCTATGAAGCAAAGCGAACGGTTGCAGACATTCCAGGTATACCAATTATAAATATTCAATATTTAAATAAGCTATTTATTTCTTAATATTTGTATTATAATATTCAGGCCTATCGCAACTTCAAAATGCGCATAATAGTGTCCACTGATTTAATGGCGCGAGGTGTTGATTCATCGCATGCGAATTTGGTTATTAACTTGGATCCACCCAAYGATCTGGTGACTTACTTGCATCGCATTGGGCGTGCTGGGCGCTTTGGCTCCAAAGGCATTGCCATTACATTTATTTCCTCGCCACAACAGTGCCAATCCTTTAAGCAGATCATTG